TATTTATTTTTTTACAATATTAATAGTTATAAATTAAGTAATATTTAACAATAAATAGATTAAATTAAATAAAAATTATATTAATTTCAATATGTATTAAACAGACTTTTTTTTTTGGCAGAAGATCTCCATACCAATAATATTCTTGCGGGTAACTGGATTAATTTTTTTTTGGGGGCAAATTCCTATACTAATTTTTTTGCTTTGTCAGTGAAAGAATGATGAATATTATAAAATTTTAAATTTTTTTGCAAATCCATGAATGTTTCCAATTATAGCTTTATCTGTAAAAGAATGAGAAATATTATAAAAATATATCTAGTGTTAATGTTAGGTTCGTCGGTGACTATTTTCATATAACTTTTTTGTCGGTAAGTTACTAATATGACTTATTAGTGATTAGCCTGTGTGCAGTAAATCAGTTATAGATTAGAGACATGCTTTTTATACCAATTTACCAATGTGACTTACTTGAAATGAGCTCCAACAATATGGTTCCGACAACAAGTTAGAGACATGCCATTTGTTGGTAATTTGGATCAATTTATTGACGTGACTTTAATTCAAATCAGTAAATGGATTACCGAATAGGTTTACACTAACAATTATATTACCGACATAGTTCAAATTACAAATTGTTTTTACCGATGAGATTCCTTTTGGTTTTCGACATGATTTCTTATCCATGATAGGATGCATTCTTATAGTTATGAGTGCATGTTGTTGTTAAGTTTTCTTTTAAGGGAGAGAGGAGAGACTAAAACAGGAGAGGAGAGAATTGAGAACATGAACATGAATAGAACATAAACATGGAAGGGTGTAAACATTCCATACCGGAGAGGAGAAATCATGTTTTCTCTCACTCAATTTTCATGCAATTTCTTCCTTTCTTTTTATTGAGGAAGACTAAACATAAAACAATCACTACAACATTTTTGCCATTTAGCTACAGACAAAAATTGTATGTATATGGTAAAAATCTGTAGGTATTTCCCATTCGAGGCCTATATCTATGGAGAAAAATGTGTAACTATATGTCCTATAACTATAGATAATTAACTACACAAATGTACATATTCCTACAGTATTATAAGTTATAGGTAAACGATTAATGATCCTATACTTACATTTGAAAAATAGTAAGTAAAATAAAATACCTACGATATACACTCGTAAATAAAGAACAATAGTAACG